TGTCTATCTTAAGTAAGGCTCTGCGGCTATGGAACTCTGACGCTCCTGTACTCACTCCTCCCTGCATGGTCTCCTCGAACGGGCATCTCTACTGGCCGATGTTGTGCTGTGAACTGGTATGCATGCAGTTTAGCAATCCAGCGAGCTAGCTGTCCTTCAGGTTCCTTGAAGGAAAGGAGCCATCGGAGAGCAGTGTGGTCAGTACACAAAATGAATGGAAGACTGCAGATGTAATGGCAGAAATGTTCCACTGCATCCACAATGGCCAGTCACACAATAGGTGCGCTCCGCCAACGTCAGCGCCCGGCTGTAGTACACCACTACTCTCTCACCTTCCCCCAAAGGTTGAGGCAGCACAACTCCCAGCCCTTCGTCACTGGCATCCGTGTCGAGGATGAACTGCTGACAAGGATCCAGCACAGCCAACATGGGGGCGTTACACAGGGCGTCCTTCAGAGTGTCAAAAGTCTCCTGCCTGGCGGTAGTCCATTCAAAGCTGACTCCTTTCAGGGTGAGTTTGTGCAAGGGAGCAGTGATGGTGGCGAATCCTGGTATGAAACGGTGGTAGTAGGAAGTGAGCCCCAGAAATGTCCGCAGCTGCCTCAAAGATTGGGGTATTGGCCAGTCCCACACTGCATCCACTTTGTCCTCCACTGTGGCTATTCCCTGCCCACTTACTCAGTGGCCCATGAATGTGACTTCCTTCTGAATCAGATGGCACTTCTCCAGGTGCAGCTTCAGCCCGGCTTCGGCCACGCTCTCGAGGACCCGACTCAGGGCAAGCAGCGCACTCTCAAAGGTGTCACCATGCACCATCAGGTCGTCTAGGTACATGAGGCATTGACTTGGTGGAATGCGTTCCAGTACCTTCTCCAAGAAGGCAAAGGGCATAACTCGGAACTGCCCATTGAAAAGGTGGTCTTCGGACAGGACTTTGCAGTTAGCTCTACCTGCCAGTAGCCACTTCTGAGGGCAAGGGACGAGAACCCCGAGGAGCCAGCCAAGAGGTCCAGACACTCATCGATCCTCCGCACTGGGTAGGAGTCCTTTGCGATGACTGCGTTCAGCTCCTGGTAATCCACACAGAAGCGCCATCCTCTGTCCTTCTTCCAGACCATCACCACCGGTGACCTCCATGGACTGTCCGATGGCTCAACGATGCCCCCTTCCATCATCTCCATGACGGCCCTTTAAGCTGCCTGCTGCCTTTCCTCAGATAGGCATCATGGTTTCTGTTGAATTGGGAGAACATCTGCGGTGTTGATGTGGTGGCGGGTGAGGCTGATCCGACTCAGGTCCTGGGGTGACACTACAAAGGCATGCTGGTACCACTGTAAAAGATCCCAAAGTGCCTCAACTTGTTCTGGCATCAGACTCCTGGTGCTCCTTTCTCACACTGGCCGGATCGCAGTTGTTCTAACTCCTGAAGCTGATCCCTGTCTGTCTGCAGGGTCAGGACATCTTGACGGGGGCACCTCGCCTATCCTGTTGCTTCCCCGGGTCCCACGTGGAGAGGCCTTTTTAACATCCTTCCTCAATGACGCGGACAAAGCGGAAACCAAAGCCAGAAGGAGTGCTGCAATCGCCTGCAATCAGGGGTAGGGAGTGGTAGAGAAGCGGTCTTCACCTTTTGAGGCCATCTAGCTCTACAGCTTCTCCTTCTTGGGGTGCAGAGCAGAGGCAGTCTCTCCAGCGGTGATGTCTGAGGGCATGGCTCCTTAACAGGAGGGGGGGGAGGAGACGGCGCAGATACCTGGGAGGAGGTTTCGGCATGCTATGTGGTTTTCAAAGCTGGGCTGGCCCAGTTGAATGGTTTGCTGTAGGTCGAGCTAAACCTGTGCACCTTGGAGGAAGTCTAGCCCCAGTATGCAGTTCTCCTATGTAGGGACCCAGACCGGGCCCCGGAAGCGCTGACTCCCCACCTCCATTAACGCCACAGCCCACCCCAGCATGAAGCTCTCCCCGCCCGTCGCTGTACTCAGCTTAAGGTCGGTGGATCTCAGCGTTACCCCTGGCGGGGCTAGGTCGGGGTGCAAGATGGTGACCGTTGACCCTGTATCAACTAGCACTTGGCAGGGTGTCCCTTTGATCACGACATGTAGGTAATAGTAGAGCTGGGTCTCAGCACACGGCGTAGGCCGCAGGCTGTGGGTTCAGGGCTTAGTTGTGTCCCCACGTGACACTGACTGTGGGGTACTCATCGTCCCTCCTACGTGAGCCCTCACTTGTTTCCCTGCTGCTGGGTCACAACCTCACCCTGCCCCACAGTGGGTTCAGTGGCTTCAGCTTGCAGCCTTGACTGTGTCGCGCACACGCTTCATTGCCAGCCTCCCATAGTTGGTGAAGTAGCTCGCTCTCTGAGCACCTCCTCTACCTCTTGGGCCTTTCTCAGGACTGCGTCCAGAGTCCTAGACCCTGCCAGCTGGACCTGGTGCTGTAAGCAATCAGGGGTAAGGCCGTGGATAAAGCAGCGAGTGATGAGCTTTTCCTGAGCTGGTTCTGGAAAACTAGGATTGGCCGTGCACACTAAGTGGTGTATATCAGCTGCAAAAGCCCCAAGCCTCTCTTCTGGACATTTGCACACGGCACTCTACAGTAGCTGCTCCTCGAGGACTAGAGTTGGCTCCAGGCTGCCGAATCACCAGTCAAAGGCCGCCAATACCACCAGCTGCACGGCCTTTTCCCATTCGGACCAGAAGCTATCAGCTCGGACCTCCGCCTAAATGCTTCCCACGGTGCTTCTTTCGTAAACCGGCCTACCGGTGGAAGTGTTGCCCGGCCACTGTCCGGACCTACATTCTCTAGCCACCCTATTGTTCGTACCCTGCTCTCTGCTTCTTCCCGCAGCACAGCCCTGCTTCTCTGTCGGTCCATGTCTGTAGCTCCGCAGTCCAAGCCCAGTGACAGCGTAGGCAGTGAGTCACCTTTCCTCCTGGTCTGCGGTGTCTTGTCTAGGCTTGTCCCCATCATTCTGTCCGAGTAAATTGGCTGCTTGGGTTCGATTAGTCCCGCTCCTGACAACAATGTTGTAACTCGCTCAGCTCGGAGGGAAGAGGGGGAGAGAATGAACAGACAGAATGCGGGCAAGGGGAGGAATTTATTGCCCTTTTTTGGTACAAAGAGCGCGCTAGCCGCTGGCAGGTGGAAGAAGAGCTCACAGTTGCAAGGTAACCCCTAACATGCCACAAAGGGAAAGAGAGAGAATGCTTGAGGGTTCAATTTCTTGAACAAAAGGGAAACTGCTGCTGGGAAGTGTCAAAGGGTGACGATCCGGTCCACCGGCAGGGGGGGGGGGTGTTGGGTGGTGGCGCAGAACGCTTCATTTTATTCAAGGTCTTCATATAGCCTATATATGTTTCTTTGGACTGGGTTTTAATATTTCTCTCTTACTTGAATGACATGTGTTCTGATTTCCCATTTCTAAAGATTCTGTATGCAGAGCAAATGTTTGCTCTTCTGCCTACATGCCAGTGTCTGGATTAAAAGTGCCTACCTACAGAAAATAACAAAGATTCAGAGATGAGCTGAAAGAAACGTATTTAAAGGAAGCTGGGACAAAAGGGGAAGGAGATTGAGTATTTTTATTTTTTAAATGTAAATGAATCCTCACTAATTACTAATACTAAATATTAAAAAGGAAGCAAATAGGAGATGTATATCAAAGATTGATGACTTGTAGATTCCGATCTTTATTTAAACATTTGGTTTTAGCTTTATTTTAGAGAACTTCATTATGCTTTTGAGGGATTTGTTCATACAGTATTTTATATAGTACAAGTACTGTTTCAAGTATCCCATGCAGCACCTATCTCTAGATGTTTTTAATACAGTAATGTGGTATTACTGTATTATATCCAGAAAACGCTATATAAGTTTAAGCTATAATTATTATTATCATTATTAAGGCCATTTGATTGTTCAACAGCAAAGTTTAACAACCAAAAGCGTAGCCTAGAGCTTTAAATTTGTTTTGCTGTACAGGTACAGTATATTGTAACATATACGGCAAACATTGCAGGTTGTTCGAGCCGGCTTACCAGTGCAGTGACGTCACCACCCTTCCCTGTGAATAGCAGGGACCACAGCCGTCAGGCTGACGGGAGATTTCCTTTTAGCTCAACTGGCTGGGTTGCTGTTGAGTTACGCCGGAGGCCTGAGTTCGAGTCCCATACGGTAGGGGGGCCGACCTGAGGCAGCAGGGGCGAGGGCGTATACCCGCGAGCGTTACATTGGTGTTAGCAGTGGGATGGGATAGCCCTTCGCCGTGGATGGCGAATTAAGCAGAGGAGAGTGTAATGCATAAGGCCGACATTGCAGGTTGTGCAAGCTGGCTTACCAGTGCAGTGACGTCATTGCCCCTCCCTGTGAATGGGAGATTTCCCTTTAACTCAGTTGGCAGGGTCCCTCTTGAGTGACACTGGAGGCCAGGGTTCGAGTCCCCAGCAGTGGGGGGCCGACCTGAGGCGGCAGTGGTGAGGGCTCATACCCACGTGAACCCAAGAGCACTACAATATGTAACAATCACTAAGTAAATAATGGGAGTCATTTAAAACGTGATTAAAATACATTAATTCAGCATATAATGCCCTAATTTACTGTAATTTAAGAATACTTGCTTGTACCAGGAAATGTAATTAGGTATTTTAATGGTTTAAAATTCTAGAAGCCATATGATATTAGACTCACAAATTTAGCTTTAAGTTGCTTTATGCAACATCGGCTTCACGGGACATTCAAATTGTTTGAGATGTCGTTGTTTTAAAGTACATTATAGAGTAAATATGTAGGAAGTTTGAGATCTGTCTTTCCCAGCCAAGTTTAATAATAACTCACTGCATAATAATTATGCCGAATTAGCCCGAAGCCTTTGACGTGATTTACTGTGTGGTATTTAAAACTAATTTCAGAGACAGCCGGAGAGAATGCAATTTGACTGTCGCGAATCTCTCCTTCCAGAGCCTATGTTGACGGCTCGCCAGGTGGCGGCGCATAGGAACCAGTGCGGGAACCGTTCAGCTGTTTCCCCCCCAACTCTCTGAAAGGCAGTGGAGCATCTGTGGGCGAGCGTGTTACTGCCCAACTTTCAGTGCTGCGAGGACGCAGGATTCCTCGTGGAGTGTTTCTCTCTTTGTTTTCCGTCTTGGAAGGTGGTGATCCCAACTTTTCATCGCATTTTTCTGTTTAATATGAGAAGATGTCCATGAATGAGGTTTACGTGTTTCGCCCATTCAAACTGATTGCTCTGCTATGTGTGTTTCTTGCTCTCTGCCTGGACGTAGTGGCACTGCTCAGCCCAGCATGGGTCACAGCCGAACAGTACTCTCTGTCGCTATGGGAGTCCTGCAAGAAAGAAGCGTCAGCCTGGCAATGTATTTCAACTCTCAGAACTGGTAGGTTGCAAAACGTTCTTAATACAACCATTTGAAAACGGAGAAAAAATATAATTACTGACATTAACTGACAGTCAATTGATGTTTTTAGCCTCTATCGTTTCTTTAAGAATTCGTAACATTTCTTCTTGTTAATATTCTATAGCTGTATATTCTATCAAAACCTATCAAAATCAAAACATTGTAAGAATGATGGATATTATGTTGCTAATGTCATTTTTTGTATCTACATAATTAATACCCCTTAATTGCAAATAATTGGGTTTCAGTGCGAAGATAGTTGCGTATTGCTACGTTTTCCTGAACTTGAAGAGAATTGAAATGAACGCATTTCAGGAAACCTTGCACTTTTTGGAGTGCTACTGTACGTTCAGGATTTAGGGAAAGGCGTCTACTGTCCCTTAAATATATGTGCTGTTACCGCAAGGTGAAAGCCTTTCATGTGTGTACCTGCCTGATTAAAAACAACAAATAAAGATAATAAACTTGGAAAACGTGAATTCTGAATAAGGTTTGGGGTCATTTATGTTACACGATATAAAATGGTGTCGACTGGAGAAAAGAAAAGGAAGAAAAACATGGAGAAGTATCTGATCTACACTTGTTAACATTTGTTTTTTCCCTGTTGAGTGCACCACTGCAGCGCAAGTAGCGAGCCTCATCAAAACTAAGGAAGCTGTATAGTCATTTGAAGCACAGCGCATCAAATTGTTTCTAAAACAGAGCAGGCTGTTCCAGGGGTAACGTGTGTGCAGCATTTGCCTTCCAGAATTTCTACTGGCCAGCCTGGTTGACAGATGTAACTCAGCGATTTTTTACAGCTTTTTGTTATTGTTTTGGCCAGAGCACAGAGAAAGCCATTTGTTGCCTGGAATGGCAGATTCCCTGCTGTTTGCTACATTTGCAGCGTTTCATTTAGGTTCATTCCTTCAGTATCTGGTGTGATTGATATGTATTTTAAAAGGAGGCTGTGCTGATGGGCAATTAAGCTAGTGTGACATGCCAGCTGGATGCTCAATTGAACCCTTACCCGCAATGTAAATGTGGGTGTGACTTGACTGAGAGTAATATAACCCCACTCCTTGCTTACGATTTGAATAGCAGGGATTCTTTCCATTCAGCAGGTTATTTAGCCACCCTGTTGTGTGAATGAAAGTCTTAGGTCCAGCATGGCTGCCCTTTGCCAAATGAAAAGCATTCAAGCATCACTTAAGGACAGTACAGCACTACAGTATGTGCAGAATGTATATCCATTAATGCAGGGTCTTGATTAATAAAAGCAGAGTTTTATAAACACAATTAATAAAAGGATATTGTATTGATTGTTAAGTGAATTAATGCTTTCACATTGTCACTGAAATAAACTAGAATAATATTGACATCTTACGTTGTATCTTTAAGAGGTTGGGTTTCGCCTGAGTCTGACTAAACACTATTTTAGACAAGTAGAATTAGCCATGTTGAACAACTAGAGGATATTTCAATATAGAAATAGACCCTACTTTTAACATAATACATTACATTTATATACTGAAACCCTCCTGTGTGTGTGAAATACATTTTATAGATTTGACAGTTTCTCCAATGTATGTTTCTACAGAGATCAAATCAGTACAAACAACCACCTTCAGTAGGTTCAAATTATTTTCTTGAAAGTGAAACTGCCTCCCTCGTGAATTCTGTTTGGTATTAGTTACCTTACTCAGGAGACTGTGTGGGAAGTATTTTAGTGCACCCACCCAGCCGGGGATAAAATTAGCCAAATGCCCACTCTCCAGGATAACAAGCATGCAAGCAAAGTGAAACAGATAAGTAACAGATGGATTTCTGGATCTCTGACTACATTAACTTTGGAACATTAATCCTGGTCAGATGCCTTCTGCCATTCCATCTCAGAACAATGACCTGTTCTGTTGAGCACATGTGCATTCCTCTAATTGCACTTTTTCAGCTGTAGAATTCTGTCTCTGCTATTATCAAAGTAATAATGATTATTACATGTTTTGTAATCTATTCTAATATTAAATAACAGAAGGTACATTATAAAGAGTAGTGTGGCATCTAATTATACAAATTTGAATGTAATTAATTGTGGTAGTTATACTCTAGATGTGCACAAAACCTGGAGTGGTAACAGGTTAAGTACAGTAGTTATCCCAACCTTTAAGGGAGTAAAATATTGATGGTAATAATAATAATAATAATAATAATAATTACTTAATTTCTGTACACAGCCTATTGGTGGCGGGGCCTTGGATTGCACAACAGTCAAAATGTCCTGTATTTTATTTTCTGTTTCATTTTTAAGTGTGGAATTAACTTCTGCTTCTTCCTTTTTAGTCCACAGATGCATGCTTAATGCTCTAGCTGATAAAGACGGCAGCCATGTTTTCTTGTAACTCTTTAATTTTGTAAATCTGTGGCATAACGATCTAGCAACATGACCAGGTCAATTTAGCTATACATAAATGGTTTGTCATATTTCTAACTGTACTAACAGAACCAAAGTCCAAGTCCTTCTCACCAGCATTATTTTTTGTTCTATACTTAACTTTACCCTCATTTGGGAAATGCCAGAACTGATAACATAATGGAAAGTCAGCCAATAACATAGACAGATTTTAAGATCAAAGAAATGCTTTTGTACATAGACTACAAGATGAAATTATGAATTCATGTGCATAGGTGCATTGTTATATATATATATGTTTAGAAGATACAATATTACTGTTTTAATACACTGTAAAACATAGTTATGGCGTTTGTGTAAAAGCTCTCTTTGGCACGCACAATTGAAATGGAATTATAATGGATTATCCTGAAGGTAAATGTAATGGTAAAACAAAATGTAAAGCTTACAAGTACTCAAAATCCTCAAAGGCACAGACAATGTTAACCCAGCAGCTTTCTTTTAAATTAATAGTGAAACACAAACTAGAGGGCACAACTAGAAACTATAGGTAACTGCCAAAATAAAGGAAACGCCAACATAAAGTATCTTAATAGGGTATTGGACAATCATGAGCCATAAGAACAGCTTCAATGTGCATATTCCACCTCTACTGGAGGGATGTGATACCACTCTTCCACAAAAAATACCAACATTTTGTGTTTTCTTTATGGTGGTGGAAAATGCTATCTCAGGTGCCACCCCACGATCTCCCATCATTGTTCAATTGGTTTGAGATCTGGTGACAGGGACGGTCTTGCATATGGTTTACATTGATATGGTGCCAGCAAACAATTCAGTGGCCACTTGCACTCTGTGGATGGGGGCATTGCCATCCAGAAAGTTTCCACTACCATTAGGATAGAAATAATTCACCATAGGTTGAACATGATCACTCAGAATGGTTGTGTATTTATTGGCATTTACCTTGCCCTCTAAGGGGTTGAGTGGACCTATGTTATGCCAGGAAAATGCTCCCCACACCATAACAGAGCCCCCAGAACCCTTCAATATGGGGAAACAAGCACTCAAGCCTGTAGGCTTCAATTCCTGTGTGCCACACATTAATTCGTCCAGTTGTTGAGAACAGAGATGACTCATCTGAACATATGACATTTTTCCAGTGCTCAGTAGATTAAGGCCTGTATTATGTGTACCATGTTACTTGCAGAAGTTTATGCACTGCAAACCAACCATAGCATTCCTATCTGTGACATTCTTGACAGACAGTCCTTGATGAAACTGCCTGTTCTTGCTTTGGATAGAGATTTGCAGTGAACTGATTCAGAGCTGTTTGTCTGTTTTGCCCTGCATCTCAAACCAATGCACGGACATCACGGTCAAGGAGTAGGCACTTTTGTCCGCAGTTGCCCCTAGCTGATAATGACTTTCCCTCAGAACTCTATGTCAACATCACATTAGCCACTGTTCCTCATGAAACATCAACAAGTTGAGCAGTCTTCATCACTGAAGCTCCTGCCAAACATGCCCAACAATCAAGCAACAATCAGCTCTCTAGGAGATTTCTTCTTCTAGCCATGGTGGACAAAAGAATGGGCGACTAGGCTTGCCCGAGATTTTTATAAATTACCCTATTCATGATGGGATGATAATTGCCGAACTCAGGAAGCACACCTGTGTGGAAGCACAGGTTTCAATATACTTTGTGTCCCTCATTTACTAAAGTAAACTTTAATAAAGTGTTTCCTTTATTTTGGCAGTTACCTCTATGTGGAAGTGTATTTATAATTGAGAAAAGAAGACACTTCTTTATCCAACCAGCTGTGGAAATATGGAAGAGGTTTTCAGCCCTGTTGTTGAAGCCAATACTTGTTTTGTTTTTTTTCAAGAAATGACAGAATTAGATCCTTGGATCAATTAGCTACTACCAAAAGAGCTAGTTATTCCAAACGCTTTCCTTTCATTTGTAAACTTTGTTATGTTCTTATGTCAAAACTACCATCTGTCCTATTTGACTGGTTTGATCCTTTCTTCTGCAGGGTAAATTGACAGAGATTTATAGTCACATTACTTTACAAATACATATTTAAGTTTCTGCAAGTGTGTTGTTATGGCAGAACAGCCTAGGGTTACGTTCCCAGGACTTTAGAGGTTGCCGTCTTATGCTGGTGGTTAAATGTAGAATACTTTTCATAAATGGATTTTGTTTCATCTGGTAATTTAAAAAGTCAGACACACTCCTTGGAAAAGCATCCTTCTGGAGAAGTCATGTTCACTCCTCAAGTTTCATGTGGTTTGGGCTACAAACCGAAAGGGTTAATGCCTAGGAGCCAGTCAGCTGTGTCTGACAATGGAGCTGGTGGGCTGGGTTGGTGGGAACTGAGGTTAATTAACTATGAAGGAAGTTCATCTTTTCTTTTCAGTAAATCAGGCAGTGAAAGAGCTGGTGAATGAATGAGAGAAAGAGGGCAAGGGCTATGCTTCACCAACCACTGGAAGCTTTTGAGCCAGATGGGGGTCGTATTCTTGAATACTGGAAGGTGTGACACTTGGAAAGAAGGCTGAAGGAGTAGTTTAGGGTTGTGGAAGTGGCATATGGAACAGAGAAATATAAAGAAGTAGAGTTAAACAGTCCACCTATCAGATTGTAGCTGAATGAGGTCTGTCATTTGGTTTGATATACTACAGGGGGAAACCAAATGAGGTATATAGGGTCAGAGTTGCCTTATGTAAATCATTTTTAGTAGTAGCCACCTTCCACTTATGGTAAATTGATGTGGAGGGTTTCAAAAACAAGCCATGTTACTTTGGATAATAGTACTAGACAAATAAAGTAATAGTAATGGAGGACAAAAGCTAACTTCAAGAGGTTCTTTAACTGTGTTTAGAATAGTATAATAGTACAAATAATCAAAAACTAAAAGGTGAGATTCTGGTCAACACTTTGTAGCAAACAAATTTCAGAATTCTAATTAAGTCTGCTCAAAAGCTAGAGAAGATGGAGTTTGTATTCCATCTTGGGTGAACTAGATTTAGGATCCAGGCATTTGCAGTGTAAACATGCTAAGGGTGTGCTCTGGAAATGTTGTAGAAAAGTTTACACTACATGCTAACAAGAAACCATAGTTCATATTGGCATTGGAATCTAATGTGTGAAGCAATGCAAAGAAATGTCAACTTCTTTCAGTTACAATAATCTAAGTCTTTGTATTAATTCACATCTGATCTCAAATAAATAGTAAAATAAGATACATTGCTGCTGGCCTATTCAAGTTTCTTCCATCTGAGGACAATCTCCACTGCTGAATTTATTTTCAAAGGAGGGAGCTTGTTGATGTCATCATCTCAGCAGTATAAATTCAATAGTAATGGCTATTTAAATAGAGGGTATTGACAGTGAGAAATCATGAGTTTATTTAAAGGCATTTGCGGATTTTGTCCTTTGCTCTTTTTTAGACTGGCAGGTTGCCACACTGGTGTTGCTGTTGGCTGGGGCGGCTGTTACACTGGTGGCTTTTCTGATAGCCCTCATCTCTCTGTGCAATGGAGACCAGAGGAAACACTACCGCACAGTCGCCATCTTCCTCTTCACTTCAGGTTTGTCCTGTCCCATCTTTCCTTCAAAATGTCTGGGGAGAAAACAAAACTTTTGAGTTAACCAGATATTAATGCAAGAGAGTCTTTTTATTTGCATGAGGCATTATACTTCCCTCTTTATAAAAAGCAGCCTTTATGTAACTTAATTGTTCTTAAAATTTTATAAAGAAATAGGAAAAAAAGGTATTGCTATAATAAGAAAAAGAGGAGTGGATCTTGATGGAACAGTCTTTTATCTGTCTCTCAGGCAAATAAAGGAACTCTGGAAGCTATACATTGCTGACGAACAATTGAATATATTCCATTCAAAAACACAATTTTCTCTGCTTTGTTCCAACTGTATCTGTATTGTTGTTTGCTTTTGCCTTTCACTGAAAAGTTCAAAGAGGAAAGCTACAAGAGAAAAAAAAACCTCTGAAATAAGATTCTTTAGAAAAAGGACCATACATAACAAAAGGTGAGGATGATGAAGAGGTGCCGGCTCCAAAATACTGAACAAGTTTGAATTTTATCTGCATCTGCAACGTTGTTTCTGAGCTTAATGAAATAGTTGAAGGTAACTCATCTAAATTTCCATTCCTTTTTCCAATACATTTTAGACAGACTAAGTGGTACTTGACCACATTATTGTAGGAATGTAATACTGCTACTGGGATATTAGATGTACCACTTCCACAATTTAAAAGGAATTCAAACATGTCAAACACACACGTCAGTTATCTATGATGAGGAAAAAAAGGTTCTGAAATTGTTGCAGTTGTGCATAGTCCTTATGGAGAGGTGTGATTTTGCTTTCTGCTTGCTCTGGTTTAACAAGCCTTACTGCCCTTACAGAAGCACTCACACCTACATATTTCCTTTCCCTGGGCACCAGGAAGGAAGTAGGTGGTATATAAACTGCAGAAGTGCTAACTTCCAAGCACACTTCATGGCAGACAAATAGCATTCCAAAGCAAATAGAAGGTTCCTGTTGGGCAGCCTGAAATAATCCAGAAGCACTTTAATAGAAATACAGGATATTCAGGAAAGGGATTGACACTTTTTTCTATGGTATATTCATCTATCTGCTCTAAGAGGTGTGGAACCTGTAAGTTGTGTTCAAGATGTTGGCCTATACAGTTGAACAGAGAGTGCAAATAATGAAGAATAAAACTATATATGGAGATTTTCATTCTCAAACTGCTTTACATATAGGAACCTTTTCAGCCACCACTGAAAAGCAATACCCATGTGGTTGAAGAGTGACAGCCATTATGTATGTTACGACCCCAAGTGTCTAGGGGTAAAGGGGTGTAACATTTAGGATGATTTGGATGCAGGTGGGTTTCTGGGACTTGGGACTTGGGAAGCATGACAACACGTTTTGGTGCAAAAGTGATTTATTATTAAGTGAATAAAGTGACTGGTAGGTATACAGGACACTATAACACACAGGGAAAGGGAACTAGAGCGGTGCCAAAGAAAAGAAAATATCAAACAAAATGGAGCTGGCTAGGAAAGTGAGGGAAAGCTGACCTAACTACCAAAACAAAACCTGAAACACTCGGTCTTCAGTGCCTTCTAACGCCCTAGCTTAGCTTCACTAACTACCCAAAAACCATACAGGACAAAAGGCACTCACCCATCCTAACTAGTGTTACTAATACAAAGACCAACTACTGTACGTGTGCACAATGTACCTGACAACCTTAACTAACCCTATACACAAAAGTTCACACAAATATACAACTGAACTACAAATACAAATAAGGGAAAACGAATGTACAGAGGTTGAACATATAACATAACAAGTTTGGGCAAGGTAATAGCGAAATAAAGGAAAATACAAACAAAAGTACAAGGAGACGAACATAAACCAAGAAAAGCTGAAGCTATATGAAAACATACACACATGAAACAAATGAAAATGGAGAAGCGAAGCCGAAGCAAAGCAAAATGAAAGAGAAAAGGAAACTGAGCGAAGCAGAACTGAAGTCAAGTGATAGGCCCCCTTGTTCTGAAAACCTCCAAGTTATATACTGTATACGCTGAGTTCTGATTGGTCGAGAGTTGATTGATGACGATGTAATATGGAAACAATGGTGTAATGATGGACCAACGGGGGAGGGAGAACAATCAAAGTCAGGAAGTGTGGAACATAGCAATGCATGGACCACACACTGGGATGTAACAATGTACCAGCTGCCACAAAGCAAAACAGGTGGAGAAGTGTAAAATTTCTATACCATAAGAATCCCACCATTTTAATTAAGGAGGCCTGATTGTACCCAGAGTGGAATTTAGCTGTGACAAAGGGGTTAACATCCATACTCTTTTGAAAAGTACTAGGGGAACTTCTATAGTACAGTGACCCCTGTCACTAAACTGGAAGAGCATTACCTATTCTTTCACCAACAACACTTACAACAGCCTGTACCCAGCCACAATACTAGAATTGCTTTTTATTTTTAAGGTTTGAAGAGATCAATCTACATGGTAAAGTCTGGGTTTGAGAGGTCAACATAGAGGTCTGAGTATATTCTTATGAACAAAGGGCAGAGATATTGCTCACATTTGTATCAGATGCTCAGAGAGCAAAATAGAAAATCTAGTCATCATGCCATGATGTTTCTGTATGAAGAATGTTCAATCCTGTAACTTTTAAACATTCCAAAATCTTACAATGTTACATATAGATGTGTACTTTTTTAAATACTGTAGAAAATTGGTGTACAGTAACATGCAATGCCTGAAGAAAAGTGAGCTGTGGCTAAAATGATTTTTTTTACATCATATGGACCGAAAACAGTTTTGACTATATATATTTTATTTATTAAAAAAACTTTGAACTTGTTAGTTACCTGATCTTAATATTATAGATTAAATGTGAAAGATAAGAAAGACTACCTTGTGTTTAGCTAAATAACTTCTGAGATGATTTTATCTGATAACAGTAAAATGACTACTAAATATGAATGAAAATATCCATAGGGTTTATACATCTACTTTTGTATAAATAGTGGATATTTTGTTGCTTTGTGGTTAAATGAAAGCATCACACTCTTTTTTGGAATTATGTTAATACATTTTTCTTTGGGTCCATGACTTTGTTTTTCTTAGGTGCATGCCATGCACTTCTGTAAGGCTTCACAAGAGTATAGCTATGATTTTGGAATCCAGTGTGTGTGGTTCCCTCCTGTACAAGTATAGTACTCATGTAGAGTAGTTTTAGACTGTCTCAAGACATGTTAGTTTTACCCTACCTATATGTTACAAGTACAGATCCTTTCAAAACGGAACTATTACATAAACATGGATTATTTTCATGCTTATTTCAAACAACCCTTCTTATACAAAAGATTCTGAAAAATATAAAATATGTTGTAAATTTAAAAAAAGTATTCTTTGTATTTGTTTATTGGTGAAAATGTTAATAATAGGATGTGAAGCATATCATATTGAATTTCCGTATAAATGTAGATTAAGTGGAACAATGTCAGTGTAGTCAGTGTGAATATTTTCAATATGGGAGTAAGTTAAATAAAGTGAACTTGTTAGAGTATGTCTGAAACCAAAGGATACATTAAAAGTGACATTTAGGTTTCATTTAGACATTTGAACAATTACTCCAGTTTGAATCAACATTTCCGAATACACGTTTTGTTCCTACATGATACATTTATGACAATTGAATTGCATTAACCACATTCTTGCTAAGCAGGGGGTAGACATGCTATTAAGGGAGACACAAAACGCCCCATGATCTCTGCAATACATTTTTCTTACAACTATGAAGACAAAGCTGACCTTCCCTGAAATAAGAGAATGTGAACATTTTTAATGACCCTTCCTAGTCATTCAATCAAACTTATTTTATTGAAACTCCTAATATTATATTACAGTATATCCTGAGTGGTGGCACTGTGGCTAAGGATCTGTGCCTGTGGCTGGAATGTTGCTAGTTCACATCCCCTGTCTGGCAGAGGAATTCTACACTGTTGGGCCCCTGAGCAAGGCCCTTAACCCCAGCTGCTCCAGGGGTGCTGTATAAAAAGTTGACCCTATGCTCTCCATGAAATAGACGGGGAGAGAGAAGCTTGGGTATGGGAAAAGACAAATTCCTAATGTAACAAATTGTATATGGTTAATGAAGTTATCTTATCTTAATATATTGCATGATTCTTATTTAAACAGGCTCCTGTAAACACTTAGAATACACTTATTGTAGACACTATATTTTATTAAATTAAGAAGTATAAGTCTAGTATTTGTTTGTCTATGTGGAAATATACAACTTGGGAACTAGAACTTGGGAAAGTTCTGCTTATACAAATTATAATAATTTCAAATTAAAAATAATAAGTGGACAGGGTTCTTACAAGCAACTGCCCACATAGCATTTTGTGTAAAGATAATATAATGGTTATGAATGCTTGAAAGTTTTTGATACACTTCTGAGATATAAGTATTTCATTCTACCTACCGATAAATGCTCATTTTGGTTTGGTACAGAAATTCCATGATATTTTCTGCATTTAAAGCTAAATAAACAAGTATCAGGTTGAAAGCTGTTGATGTCTTCAGTAACATGCGAAGTGCAGTAAGAACCCATGGGAAGTACAGTACATGATGATGATGCCTTTCTAGCTTACCCTCTTGAGACTGCACTTTCCAGCAGTCTGTTAATGCCTTAGAAAACATGGATCTGTTGTATTTGCAATTTCAAAGAACGGTTTCATTAAAAAAAAAAACTGGTTCACTTTTGAAGCCATCAGTGTATTTTTCTGTCTTTTCCTGAAATAATCATCTATTTTTGCTGGGGACTGACAAATATCTGCTCTTTGAGTATGACAGAGCATTTGTACTGATCATTATTCTTTTTTTCTTTCATAGTGGTCCTGCAGGCCTGTGCACTGGTTCTGTATCCAATCAAATTTATCGATGGCACCGTGCTGCAGACGTACCATGAATTCAACTGGGGTTATGGCCTGGGTTGGGGCTCTACCATCTTCATGCTGGGGGCAGGAATCCTATTCTGCCTCCGGACTGACATGTACGAGGAAGCTCTTTACTAATCAACTCTGGCTATTATTAGACAGTTAACAGAACTATTATTACACTGGACTGCTGAGGTGCTTGTAGAAGAGATGAGGTTTCTTGAACAGGTGTATGGAGAAGCTAAAACTATTGGAGACCATCGCAGAAGGAAACATGGAGAAGATATTTCCAGTAAACCCTCTGCTTTTCCTTTTGTTGTTGTTGTTGTTTTAGGATTTTAATTTTTGTGTGTTTTTTTTTGCTACTACAAAATGCACAATGTGTTTCAAGGAAGTGTATATTGACGTAATTTCCTTTATCTCCTCTATTTAGATATACTTATCTGACCTAAACAATCTGGCATTTTTTAATTTGTTTTCCTTTTCTGGACATCCCTTCCCTGGACAGAATTTGTATAAGATTTCCAGAGCAGAAGAATAAGGTTGATGCGTGTGGAACTATACTAAAATGGGTTATATTGACAGTGAAAAATAAAAGATGATGGTGCTCCCTCAATGCGCAAAGCATGAGTTCCATATTAATGTATTTAAAATGGCAGAAGAATATGTTTAAATGATTCAAGTCAATATGCAAGTAGCGTATGATATTTATTTTTAAGTGTTTTTGAACCGTATTCCACACAATACTGTACAATACAACATTTCACACAAGACAAAGTGGAAGGGATTCAAGATCAAGATGAGAGTAGTCACACATTAGTAGAAATTGTGAAGTAAAATGCTCATCAATGACAAAGAGACCAGAAATAACAATATGCATGTCACCAGAAACACTAAGTAGCGTTTTTTTTAATACCTAATTTAAAGATGCAATGTTTAAGTATGTCCACATTGTTTATATACTATAAATAGTAGAGCAAAAGACATAAGTTGTTAAGTAAGAAGAACAAGGACATAAGAATCGTTACAAAGCTATTATTCCTATCTTACTTATTTAGCTGCCAATTGCTAATTGCTTCAATGATCTGCTCCAGTCATCCCTTGAAGAATGCCAAGGTATAAATATCAACAATATGGATCGGTAACATATTCCAGAAACCAATAAACCTTTGTGTAAAGACATGTGTCCTGTTATGAGTCATGAATGTATAACAGAAATTCCTTTTAGTTTCCCTGGTCCTCTTTTAGTTGACCCTTTGGTCCATTATATTGATTTTGTCAAAGCCTTTAAGGAATCAGAACACTTATGTAAGTCAAATCATTTCGTCCCATTGTCACACCATGCTCTGCTCAAACCAAAGATTCACCTTCTCCAACTTACATATCTGTTTAGGACATTCTTTTAAGCTTCTTCTTAGAACTTTTCAAGGACGATTTTCTTATTATCTTAAGAGGAGATAAGAGGACCAAAGTTGTGCACAAAGGTCTAAGTGAGGTTTTATCATTGTGTATTTCTAACACAGATTTATTTAGATTTACATTCTGTATATTTATCGATAATAGTTTCCAAAGGTAACTTTTTGATTAACCCTATCACATCATTACTCTCTATTTTCTGTGCATCTATTAATTATCAACAAGATAAATCTTACATGTTAAACTCATTCTTGAAATCTAAATATATCATACCCTTCACTGGCTATCCTCTTAATTGGTACTACATCAGTAATCTTATTTTAGTTTCACCTCATTTCCCTTGTAACCCAATTTTGAAATCCTTTCTGGCTTCAAAATGTTCCCTTTAGAGCTTGAGCGGTATGGTACTAATGAAATCCATCTTTCCCTTAATAGTGAAGAACAACGAGAAGTTAACTTGACATTCAGGGAAAACTTCTTTGTGTGTAATTTATTCTTACCTTTGCAAAATGTCATCTTAAATTATTCATTATTCTACAATAATTGAACAAATAATGGTAAGAAACAAATAGGAGGTGTATCATATTTAATTCAGTCCATTTAAAATTTCCAGTTCCTCTGATATTTTTCTGCTGCCATGGTGCACTCACAATCATTTGTTCAAATTCTCAATACCCTATAATCGTTACCGATAAGGATACATTGTATATTCTTATAGAATAAAAACAACAACCAGTTATTATTCTGTTAATACAGCACAGAGCCCAATAAGGAGCTTATACTCTTGCAGTAAATGAAGAAAATGCAAAAATGTGTCTGCTAATGAAACATTCTTTATTTATTTTTTAACAAGGTTGTTTTGGAAAAAAATATTTAATCTCCTTCTTGAGTTCCAGTTCTCATTGCTGACTTTCATATTGATTATGTTCAGATATCTAATAAAAGGGAGATTTAATCTGTATTCCTCTGATTTGTAATTGTAATGAATAAGACTTATTTTTTTGTCAGATAATGGGTGGTAAAATAACTAGTATGATTTTATCTGCAGGAATAGGATGAAAGATGGTGAGAAAGTAGGCTGTACAAATTAATGCTTGTGCCAGTGCCTGAACTCCCAGAATAAAAACAGTTCACAAGAGATGTGAGGATTTTGACACATTCACAGTATAAGTGGAATAAAATAATGTGTCCTGGAGAGGATCCCATAAGAATCTGTCAAGTCAAAATGTAAACGATTTTAGCTATCATTCTAGCTGGCATATATGAAAGTAATAAATTCAATAAAAAGAAACAATCATAAATTTCCTTGTCACAGATTTCAAAGAAAATTTAATTTTTAACATGATACTTGGCTTTAGGATTTAATTTTGTTTACAACTATGAGGATATTGACTGTTTTTCAAAACAGTTGCATTGTGGGATTAGGACTAGACAATGAAACGTACATTTTATACAGGAGTCTAAAGTACTCTTTAAGGGTAAACTTTCAATCATACAGTATGCTCCATGTACTGTAGATGTTTACTCACAATTTTTTCAGTGCACAGGTCTGTCTAGATCTGAATGAACAGTCAAAATCACTTAAACCAATATCAGCACATTTTGAAAACTGTACTTATGATTAAAATGCTTTATAAAGTATTAAGTAGTAGTATTAAACTACTTAATAGCAGTAGTATTAAACATTAACTTATAGCATGGAATACTTTTAAGCATTTTTCCAAAAATACTTCCTTATACTGTAGCAATGTAGTTCTGTGAGTAGCATGGGAATATTTTAATATTAAAATAGGCCTGTTCATAAAGCATTTCATTTACAAAGATTCATAAAGATGTCCTGAGGATCTGCAGGTTAAACATAAGGGAAAGATTATTGTTTTCAGTAAGTGGGAGAAATTTACATTATTATGTGAAGTGGCTGTTGGGTACTTAAAGTATAAATAATTCATAAAAGCAAAAAAAAAACAATTTCTTTGCAAAACCCGAAGGTTCAAAGTAAGGTTTATCATGGTAGTTTAATGAGACGCATGATCTTCACAAAAACCAAGTAAGGAATGTTTCTTTTTCCATTTCAACAGATTCAGCTGTTTTCTATACACCAGCTGCTGCAGATTGAGAAATATGAGCCTGGAACCGAAAAACAAAGAGGCCATAGTTGGCCTGAGAGATTTATAAAGGCACTCCATACTTGAAAGTCAATGATAAAAGATTAGAGTTACACAGCAGAAATGTAGAACATAATTTCTAATATAACCCACTTTTCTAGATGTACTCATAAAAATATGCTTTCATCTATTGTGACAGGCCAGCAATTATGAGGATAGTACTTTCAGATGACCTTCCACTAGTAGGCATTAGGACCTCTATTGTTTGTATATGGGTTCACATGAGGTCTGTTGTTTGATTAACTGGTGAAGGGCTGAGAAACACATTTTCACATTGGGTTAATTCCAACTGTTTTGGTATGCAAAGGGACTCACGGTGGTCACTGCCATTGGGTTGGAATAAGGTTTGTAGTCTAAAGAAGAAAAAAAATCCCTTTGCACGCTATTTTTTTTTTTGCTCTCCATTGTGATTTTCCATATGCTCAGGCCTCACGAGCCATCTATTGAAAGGTCGGCGTGTCACATCCATATTGAAACTTTCCTTTACAGTACATGAGCTGATTTGTTTTGCTGCTTAATAGTACTATACAAGACATGTGTCATGTGCTCTGTTACCCTCTGCTTTTATTGGGATTGACCAATACAGTTTTGAGGTCTAGATGAATTGAAATTTTTCTGGCCTTGCAATATTGTAATATTTTGACTGCGGTTACTTCTTTTTGGTAAAATGGCTCTGAAGTCACACTTGTGGGTATGAAATTGGAAAGTCTTCAGAAACAAAGTGTAGTAGGTTGATCTTTTTTTCTCTTTTAAATAAATAAAATGAGCATAGTGATGAAAGGCAATGTAATAACCTTATGTACGATGCAGAAAAGGCTCACAATACTATGACAGTGAATGACAGTGAGAGTAATTCAGTATTTTGCCGTCTTAATCTGGAAAGAAGCACTTTTCATACATCAGTGACCTAAGTTATTTTTCACACAACTATCTGCACCTCCGGAAAAACTAATGACAAACTTCTGAGTCACAGGAGTCTGGTATCCTGTAGTCAGTATGACTCAGTTTGCCATTAGGAAGGCACTAAAAACTTTGCCTTTTAAAGGTACTAAAACTTCAGTTTCAATGAACTTCCAAATTATGCAAAATGAGTTCCTTCCTCTCATATAACTACACATTCATAGTTAAAATATTCCCATTTAAATGGGAAGAACCAAACCTAGACCTTGAATGTTCTTAGTGTATGGGCCTTGTTGAGCTGCCAACAAAGAAGAACACAGTAAGAATAATAATAAACAGTGAAATGTTTAGGATTAAAAGGGGGATTAAGCAGTTTAATAATAATAATAATTAGTCAAGTTTTATTGTGTGATATGTCACTGAATATAATCAGAATTCACTAAGTGTTGCTAGGATTGGTTTTCTCAGCTTGCCACGCAAAATCAACTGCAGTGACTTGCCACACACTCAGAAGCATTTGATATTGTCAGTGAGAGAAGCATGATTACATACAGTGTAAAAAGATAAATACCTGTATAGTTAAAATACATATAGTAATTATCTTGTTTATATATTCTATTCCTGTCTTAAGTGACTGTTGGAAGAGTTGTATCAATGGCCTGTTAATAATCTTTTGTTTCTGTGAGTTCATTTGATAAGATACTATCGAGTTCTGGAGCTTTATTCATCTTGAGTGCTTATCCTATCCAATATACTTCTCTGTCTTCTATGCTGATACTCTTTAATAAAGGTACACTGCTGAACTTCTTCCTTAGTGAAATAAATACCTGCTTGTCTCACACTGACTTAATTGTCTGAACGAGGTTAGGTTTAGTATTTCCTAAGGTTCTCTTCTAATACATTAGGCATTTCCAACTCATTCTGCAACACATCTGGGTTCTGCTTTCACAATCCTAGCCCCTCTGTCTCCCCACAAATCGAAAGGCCCATTCTCAGATGCCTCTCCAATTCTTTCCCATTCTCAAATTCAAGATGGTGCAGAGTTGGCCCCCTGTTCCCTCTCCTTCTCCCTTGAATATTCTCCTCCACCATCATCTGCAAAGGTCCCTGAAGGAGTACAAACTCGTCTTTCATCATGCCAGCTTGAAGAAGTTCCTCTTAGCTCTCAACCTCTCCACCACTCATAGAAAACAAACAGCTTACCTGAGTCACCTTCACATTTGCTCATCTTTTCTGGCTTTATGATAATGTCATTCCTTCTCAGAACTTGAGCGCAAGTCTCCTCATCTATGCCCATATGGCCCCCCTTCCCTGTTATGTCCATGCAGTCTACAATCTCTGCCTGATTCTCTCTCCCTTCCAATTTAGTTACTACTGTTGGGCTCCCGTTTTTACAGAAACTCAGGACCCCCTCCTTTCTATACCTATTCAGAAGTCATATTTTAATGTCTTCTTCCTGGATCACTTCTCCAGAGCAGCACACTTCAAACCTTCCACTCAATCATTACTTCAATCTTATTGATTATTTCATACATTCCAACTGCTAACCATGCCCTCATTCATATTAAATCTTTAGTTTTCATAAGTGTTCTAACTCAGAGATACAGTATGAAGAACCTATAGTATCAGTCCTTCTGGGAATTCCAACAATCCTGTGCTTATGGATGAGTCGTTGTTCTTCTCAGCCAGATCAGCTACCCC